GCTATATTGCAGATTGGTATACCATGTACGCATGGTTGATCTTTCGGTGATCCAGTCTTCCATAACTTGCTATAAACGTGCACTGTAACACTACAGGTGTGCTAGGTGTCGAACATCATGTAAGACTCAAGACACTGGTTCATGACTCTCACATCTTTTCACACACATTAATGGAATTGTGCTGCAGTCCTACACTTTCTTCTGTGATGGGAATTTTATCAAGCTGACAATGATGGTCACTACGTCTGAGTGGACAGCAAGCACTGGGGTATATTTCTACCAGCATAAAACATCTACCAGAGCTTCATGGTGGTCATGTCCTTCTTATTGGCAGCCAATCCAGCATAACCAATCTGTTTTGCTCAGTTGTCACACACTTTGAAATGTCTGATGGATTGAATCCTTATTACCAGCCAAGAGAGGAATGGGAGCAGCTGATGTGGTATAAAGATCAACACAAATGTGATATTAGATCTTGTGAGCTCTAATGTGAGCACATTAGTAAATAGATTCATGCTAACTGTGCATATGTTGAGATTTTGAATACAGATTACACATTGAAGTATCACTTGTTGTACAGTGGTATAATATTTTAACAGTAGAAAAAAACAGTATAAAGTAGACACTTTCATAGTTTCAATTACCTCAATAAATCCATTGTATTATTCATAACTTTATACAAATATACTACAAACTGTGTAAGTCCAATGAGCATTAGAAACAATATTTGTACAAGTAAAATGCCTCTGCCCTATGAAACGTAAGACTCACACCCAATTGGTATGAAAAAATGAAAACTGTAGATCTCTGAAGAAAGCAAATAACCAGATATGTAGACCAAGATGCAGCAAAGAAGACAAGCCTCTGCCAAAGAGAGAGAGCTAGTGAGCTGATCCTCTGCATCACACCTCCTCAACTATAAAAAAAAAGGAGTTGCCAAGTGACTCAGACTGACTACTTTGGCAACTCAGTTTGTTGAACACTGAGTGTAATAGATTACACTGAAAGTTTTTTTTTTTTTCCTTTATTTTCTAAGTTTTTGTAACAGATTAAGAAAAAAGTCCATATCTAGTCCCATTAGTCCAGCTTTTGCTCTGGTAGGGTGATGATGCACATTGTAACAATACTTGTGAGAACAGTAAATCACAGAAAATACTAATTAAAAAAAGGACAATCTGAGTCTTTATGGCTTTGTGTGTGTTTCCAGTATTGGTTTCTCATTAAACAGGTCTTGCCATTTACTAAGAAACTCAACCTAAGACTAAGTGAGTACGTTCCCCCATATGGCATGCTTCTCCCTTTTTATATCACTAGATGCACACCACAAATTGGTTTTTGAGTGGTCTGCTTTGTAAAGCTATATAAGTAGAGACTGATAGGCTTCTGTTATGGGTAATTTAATAAAAGGGAGAGAAATTCCACTTCAGGATGCCACAAAATCATGGACAGAGATAATATAGAGGGCAATTTTTTAACTTTCAGCCTAGAAGAGAGCATGTTAAAAATAAACTACAACAAAAATTGTGAGCAGAATTATTACAGGATAATTACAAAGCATGGGTCTGTTTAAGTTTTCTTAATATTAGTGTAACATTTTTCCTCCTTCACTCCTCCCTTATTCAGTTTTATAACTTGCAGTTAGTTTAAAATTTAACTATCTTCTAAAGTCTGAGAAAATGTCATTGCATTTGATCTACAAAGCATCCAGCATGCCTCAGAATGATGTATAAATAACATGGAGGTCTAATTCTGTGCTCAACCTCAAGAGATGTCAGAAGGAGCAGAAAGATGATTTTAAAGTTATTTTTATTCTGTTTAGATTTTGCTTTGACTGAGAACAGATGGTATGTTGTAACTATCTTTTCAAATGAGCTGAATGTCTACAGGTTTGAAAGTTTAAGGTAAATCTCCTTGTTAGACTCTGCATGAAGGAGAGCTATAGAAAGGCCTGTGGAAGTACAGGGTAGTTTCTGCACTAGGTGAATCCTCTGCTGGGATGTTAAAGCATCTTTAACTGCAGGGATATATGTGGGGCAAATACATGAGGCCACATAGTTCTTTAAAGACCCAGAAGTGCAGCTGGCCCTGTTTGTCAAGACAAATAGGTGCCAGAGATGAGAAGCCACATGGAAGCCTGCTGTCCAGCTGGCAGATTTAAAAGGCTTCCAGTCAAAAAGAGGATTCATGCAGAGAGTAGCTTATTAGCTAGAGGACAGAAGAGACTAACAGCCTGATTTGAAAGGTTCTAGAAATTGTTTTCTTTTCCCCTTCTCTAGAGGGGATGGGATTGTTCTCTCTGTTAGCTTGATGGTTAATCAAAGTTATGTGTATTCTGTAGCTGAATTGCTCTGGTACTCATTTCAGGCTTTGACCAGTGAACAAACACTGCACCACAAAGTTTTGAATCAATATGTTTTAACTCAAAGGAGATTAGTCACAGAGGCTGCTTTTCTTGGTTTGTTTCTCCCACTGTGTTTTCTTTACACTCAACACAGAAACAAAGCCTCTTTCAGAAAGAGCTTAGAAAATATCTAAGTTAGGCTGGTTCAGTCATCCTTGAAGGACTTTATTTTCTTTCTAAGGAAGCTCATTAGATTACTTGTCACCTTCATCAAAAGTACGTTCTTTTGGATGTCTTTCTCTGTGTAAACTGTTCTATGAAATGTGATGTTAAATATTTTGTCAATTATAGAAGGCTTGTTGAAGCAAAATTCTGTGCACTAAGCTTAAGCCCTGCAAACTGCTGTCTGTATTTTTCTGTTCAAATTCATAGAAGTCTTCAATGTTGTCTAAAGAAAAACAGAATTTAGACAAATCATTGTAGTGTTCATTGTGGTATTATTCAATTAGCATATATTGTAGGATTATGAATACAGAAATATTTCAATATTCCATATAGTCCACAAAAGAGTTGTGCTGTGGGTTTTTCTAGGTGGGGAGGAAATGTCTAGCACTAAAACTATTGGTTTTATTTCAGTGTCCAAGTGATAATAGGAAACTTGAAAGCACGCTTTAAAAGAAAGATTTTGTTAGAGGCTTTGTTTTTTTTGTTGGTTGGATGGATTCAACTGTGCAAGGTTGCTAAATCTTAAAATGAAAGATGAGGCGCAGATCATTCAGCTTACAGACGTTTGTTCTGATCCCTTTTGTAGTGAACATTTAAAAGAAGAAAATATTTCATCAACTCATATTTTATGTAGCAACTTGAACAAATCTGTTACCTTCTTTAGTAAAAAATTCTGTAGTAGGAATATGGCTGTCTGCCATTCTGGATTTGACTAGCGGCTGATTACTCTTATCCTGTTTACCTCCAGCAGGAGGCAAAACTTAAAAGGTAATGAGAAGTAGGAGGAAAGCAAAACCACCTGGGAAATCAGCATCAGATTCTACATGACTTCATACAATTTTACATAATTACTTAGTTTAGAATTCTTCTCATCTGTGAACAACACATAATCCACATAATCCTGAAGCTGGGTGCTATGATATTTGTCATTTGAGAAGTTCCTTTTCTGTGGATGCCACAGAATATTCCTATCATAAAGCCCTCCATGTGAGACTAGTTCTTTTGCTTTTTGAATTGCTATTAATCCTTGGTGACTTCAGCAGTTTTTTTCCCAGAGATCCATAAAATCAGTGCATGACTATCTGAAATTCTACAAGTTCTTTCTATGTTTGTAGGATCGATTTCACTGGCATTTACTGCACCAATTTGCTAAAAATATATGGTGTAGGCCTCTATGCATACTCCATTCTACTGTATTTTTCCATTTGAATACATGAACTTCATTCTTTTCACCTATTTCAACAGAAATCTATGAGAGACATTAATACTGATGTAAACTATATATTTAGCAATTGAACCAAAGCTTTATAAGAGGAAAAATTGTCTGTGAGACATTTTGTTTTGACTGAACTATTCTCAGATACCACCTGACAGATAGCAAAACCTTTTTATTTCCTGAATATGCTTTGGCAACATGCCTTTTGATTTTCTTCTTTCGTGGTCACAAATGTCCGCTGTTTTCTGGCATGATTATCTCTCATCCCTCTCTCTTTCTGCCTGCAAATGATTCTGCCATTTGATCTTTCCTCCCTATGTTTCTTTCCTTCTTGTCTTCTTTTCTTTTTTTTTTTCTTCTTGTTCTATCACTGCTGTCCAGAAAATTTGCTCTTGAACTGTTAGAATTGCAACTATCTCTGCCTCTGCAATGCATGCAGGGGAAATATCAAAGTCCAAAAGTCTGTGCTCTAGGTATTATTCTGCAGCCTTGTATTCTTGATATCTTTAAATGTCAGTGTGCCCCACACTCCTTTTTACCTTCTGTTATGTTTTAATGCCAGACAGGAACCAAGTACCATGCAGCCACTCACACAACCAGCAGCATCAAGGAGAGAATTGAATCATAAGGGTAAAAGGTAGAAAACTTGTGGGTTGATAAAGGTAGTTTAATAGGGAGAACAACAGCCATGCACACAAGCAAAACAAAACAAGGAATTAATTCACTTCCCAAGGGCAGGCAGGTGTTCAGCCACCCCCAGGAGAGCAGAGTCCTGTCACATGTAATGGTTACTGAGGAAGAAAAATGCCTTCACTCTGGCTGTCCCCTCCCTTCCTCCTTCTTTCCCCCACTTTATATACTGGGTATGATGTCATACAGAATATCCCTTAGGTCAGTTTGGGTCACCTGTCCAGACTGTGTCTCCTCTCAGCATCCTGTGAGCCCCCAGTCTCCCCACAGTGTGACAGAAAAGGTCTTGGTTCTGTGTAAGCCCTTTTTAGCAATTAAAAAACCCCATCTCTTTATTATCAACCCTGTGTTCAGCACAAATCTAAAACACAGCCCCATACGAGCCACTGGGAAGAAAATTCACCCCAGCCCAAACGAGCATACCTTCATCTTTACTTCCTGAATCTTTACTTTGCCAACCTCTGCCAGATGATACTAAAATACAAGAAGTCTTCATGTGCTCTCTGAATAAAGACTCTCAAGTCAGGCTGTTTTTTACAAGAATTTATTTCTGTTGCTTTTTCTCCTTCCTCAGGTCACTGCCAGTATTGTCTGTGAGCATCATCACCTTCCCTTTCCAGCAGACACCTCTGAAGAGAAAAGATAATAATTGGAAAAACTGTCATCTAACTCCCTGTTTTAAGTACTTTTTACACAATTTCACATACCTGTATAACCATACTGTTGTACTGAAGAAGAAATTTTCTTCTTAACTTGGTTGGTAGTCATTTGAAAGTTCAAATTCTAAGCCAACTCCTTTTTATATGAAAATTTTAATTGCTTGCAGCCGTATTATTCATCAAAATGACTAGTAACAGTAACCAGGCACATATTCAAACTTCATTAATGTAGCTGGTCAGGGGATCAACAAAGATATTTAGAAAAAATTGGGAAATTAAAGATATTTGGTAGTTTAACCAAATGTTTTAGATTGAAACATTTGTGCAAAGTCAAAGATTGCATAAAAAGTTTGCTTTGCTGTTGCATTCAACAACAACCAAGCAAACAAACAAACAAAGAGAAGATTTCTTCACCTATGGAGTTCTAATCCAGTAATTCTAACATATAATTTGAGTGCAGTCACTGGAACAGGTTTTACCCAACAACTTTCAGGGCTACATTCTTATTTTTTCTGTATATACATTTTAGTTTAAATATCTTAACAAAGCTTAATTTAACTTGAGATCTTTAATCATCCTTTTCCTTTAATTTTGATTTTCTTGAAACATGACAATTACATCTCAAAATCAAAAGTCCAGCAACCATCAGCTTTTATCTAAATGCTAACTAATACACAGTCTGGCCATGGAAAATCTGTCATTCATCTCTGTGCTTCTTAAAATAGCTATTTTAGTATTGGCAGGGCTGATTTAAAAGCAAACTTTTAACAATGCTAGGCAAAGCATCACAAAATGAAATTCAATCCAAATGAAATCTTTGTGTGTATATGTATATATATATATGTATTCATACATGCCTATCCATATATTTATATATCACAGCTATTTTTATATTCATATATATATATATATATTCATAGACTTTAGCTAACATTTGATATCCATTATAAAATTGATCTCCTTATTGTTAAGTATAAAATTACCAAATTATTGTACTTACTGAGTTTTGGGATTTTATCATTATTTTTACTTCTTTAAACCAAATCTATGTCTGGGATGTCATCCTTTTCAAAGAGGAGGAGTAGATTAATTGGGTAATAAATCCAATCATGTACATAGGGCTGGATCCTAACCCTGTCACAATCAAAGTGTGCATTTCCATTGATCTTTCATCTGCTGAAGTGTTACCAGGTATCCACAACACTGAAAGAAAGACAGCAGAGTAAAAACAGAGAAGGCTTTTTCTTTTTTTTCCCCTGTTACTTAAGTTTAATGTGATTTTAACAGGTATAAAACTTTTCTGGGGAGGAGAATTTAAGTTGTCAGAGGCACTGTAATCTCAGCTACTTTTTCCCTTCTAGTAGTTATAAAGATATTAATAAAATCTGAGAAAAATGCCATACACTTATGAAAAGAAAATAGTTCCAACAGAAGTCTATAGAATATAGTTATGAGTTATTACACTTTTCAATAACTCTCAGAAGCATTGGAACTCAAGCATGACATAGTTCAGGTAAGTTCTGCTTTTGAAAAACTAGTTTTTAAGCATGTAGTCTGTACATTACTAAAACAATAATTTGAGGTTCAATCAGAAGCGCAAGACTACATATATAAGTAGTTTTTACCTCATCATTACATTCCATTCTGATGGAAATTAACATAAACAGAAATCTCATTAACAGATTATTTATACAGAATTATATTTTTAATTTAATTTGATACCTGTGAGGATCTATTCATTTCAGAAGCAATATAAAAGGTTGTAACTCACCTCATGACTTGATTCATACCTCCTCCACCCATCAGTGTATGTCTTGCCTGCTGGCTAGAATTGAGGTAAGAAACATTTGGAAAAGAAGTATTTTTGGCAATTAGAAGAACTAATTTTCAGTAAGTGTGCTTAGCAAAATCAGCAAGCAGCTTTCTGTAAGATGTTTAGTTGGATATTATTCCTTCACACCAGAAGAATATGCTAAGTGAGTAAGAAAACCCATTTCAGACTGGGGTTTTGCCAGCAACACTGAATTCACACAGAGGGAGAATTTTTTTGGCATGAAAAGCTGCAATAGTTTTAACTCTCCTCCCAAACACAGACACTCTCATCTTATTTGCAATTACAGTGAACATGGACTGTTTGTTCAGTAGCAAGAAAATCTCTTAGCTCATGCCTAAGTGAGCGAGGACTGATATCACAGGTAAAACAGATTCTGATCCTCTAGATATAGTAGTCTCTGACAGTATGCTGAAAATCATTGGCATTTAAATGTGACAGTAGTCATGTGAGTTGGTAAAGTAAGTTGTTAAATCTTCAAGTCTAAAAAATTTTAAATCCCCAAATAAAAATCATGAGAAATAAAAGCACATTTTACTGAGATTCATCACGCCAATTTTCAAAAGCAAAATGTTTAGGGTTTTTATTTCTCTGTTTAATTTCTTTGACAGAATATTTTTTCCAACACTATCATGTCCATTGGTCTTTTCTGTTCGAAGAGTACACTCATCTTGACTACAAGCATGTGGTTTAGTACCTGTAATAAGATCCTCACAACAGTCCCTTTGAGCATGGATAGAGAGCAAATGGGGTTTTTTTCTGTTTTACAGGCATGTTGTCAAGCAAAAAAAGAAAAAAAAAAGTTATAAATTCTTACCTTTGTATTTCAAGCAGCTGGAGAGCCTTATCTGAGTTTCATTATCTGTCCTACAGAAAGTCATCCCATAAAGTCAAAGCTCCAACTTTCTGCCTGATTTGAAGGTAAAAAACCACCCATATTTTCACATGGTATTTGCTTAACATTTTTTGAAATGTTCCTTCTTCCACTGAGAGAGAAGGTCAGAGCTGAAATGTTGAGATGGATTTGTTGAAACTTTCCTAGAGGAAATGTTGGTCTTATACAAGGTCAGAATCAGAATTTAATTTGCAAAATCCCAGTGAAGATAGGCAAAACTGTGGTTTCTGAAGGGAGGTTAGAAAGTCTTTTATTGTTGAAGCACAGTGGAACTTTTTTGAACAATGAGTTCATTAGCCTGATAATGACTTCATAAGCTATCCAATGAAAAAATCCAGTGCTGTAATTAAGGAAATGACACTGCAGCCCTACTGGCCTCTCTGTACAAGCAAAGATTTGTAAGCAAACTAACAAAAGATTAGTCCAAATAATAAAAACAGAATACTAAAGTCAAACCATGTAGTAGGTTCTTAAATAGAATAGCAGAAAATGTCACTTCTTTATCATGTCTTCACTACAGGGCAAATCACGTCTGCATTTAAAACCATGACATGCTTGGAGAAGCACTGTCTTTATTATAGGAAAACAATTCCATGGGATTAAATAGGATTAAGAAGCTTATGAGTAAATCTGACTTGATCATCAGTCTAATATCATATTAAAATTGTTTACTGGGAGAAGGCCAGGAGACAAAATCAGGAAAAAAAAAAAAAAAAAGAAGCTAAAACTCCTTAAACTTCAATGAAGTAATTAAGTTTGTTTCCTACAGACCAGCGTATCATGAACCTGATTCTCACAGGATGTCTCAGTCTATTTAAAAGTTTGTTTGCTTTATTATCTCACAAGAACCATGATGCTCTTATCAGCATCTTGTTTTTGTATCAGTTTCTGTGAAAATTAGTGAACCATTATTTTTAGTGAGGATTCCACACCACCTAATTGTAAGGTTTTACATTGTACAGCAACTATGCTTATATTTATATTAAAAAAGGGAATCTTGTGGCAAAGGAGTGTTCTGAAGTCATAAATTAAGTTCTTCTGGGAGATACTTTATTATGTTACCTCTGTAAGACAATAAACCTAGGCTAAGACATGCTCTACCTAGTGGTACAGTATAATAAATATAGTCAGCATAAATACCTCTCCTATTACTATGTGTTCATAAAATTAGAAGTGACCTAGGCCCTCCTGGATTGTCAATCCAGCTACTTCCCATCAAATACAACCATATCATGTAATATTTTGATATTATAAATATCTACACTGTTCTGCTTCTAATTTGTATTTTAACTATTACGGATCGATCCTCACAAGTAAAATGATAAGAAACTTTTTTTTTATTCTTTCCAGTAGAAATTTACGGTGGAAAAAATATTTAAAAAGTGACTGGTCCAAAGCAAAAGAAAAATATAACTCTTTTAAAACATTAATGAAGATTGAGACATGTTAAAAGTATAATACTATGAGGGGAAAGATTCTCCCTCATTAAATAAACTGTTGACAAGTGGTAACCTCTACTGAGCAGAGAGAGCATTCCCCTTACTGACAAAGGGCTTTTGGCAGATAACTTTAGTGATCTACAAGCTAGTTAGTGTGTTCCTTGAGTGGCTGCAAAAGTGAGGCAAGGCAGAATTAGACTGCATTTGTGTGTTTCTTTTAACATCTCCCTTAGAATAAGTTCACATGGAAAGTCTCACTCTTTTATAAAAGAAATTCATGCTCCATCCATGGAAACTTTCAAGGCTGGACAGAACTTTCAGCAACCTGATTCAGCTGAAGATGTTCCTGTATTATTGCAGGGAGAGTTGGATGAGATGACTTTTAAAGGTCCCTTCCAACACAAACTATTTTTTGGTTCTGTGATCAGTCCCCATATAAGGAGAGCCTAGTGGGCTGCCCAAAACTAGAAACCTATTTTCAAGTAACTGTATATACACTGATTGAATCCCACCATCCCACAAGGCAGCTTGTGGTGGATGGAGGAGAGGCAACTATAACACATCTATCAGAAGTAAAGAGATTTAGTAGTGTGTACCACGACGGATGTGTTCTGTTACATAAGAAAATACAGAAAGCAGAAATTTGTTTTTAAACCCTGGGGTGAATTAATTGCTTTGTGAGACCTATTTTCAATTTACTTCAATTTTTCCTTAGATGTCAATAGCACTGAAAGTTTGTCAATAAGTGTTGCTATAAACAATTGAGTCTTGCTCCAGTATACCAGAGGTGAAAGTCTCCTCTTTAGATTTATATATGTGAGAGAAATTCCCCATATACATTGAGGTATGAAATGTCAGAACCCTAAGAACAAGAGGCCCCAGTGATCCTAATCAGCCTCCCCTGGAGATCCACATCCACATCCTTTCAAACTCCCAGTTCACCCCGCCTGCTAGGGGGACTCTTGCCCTAACTCTGGGATCCAGAAATAGTAATTTCTGTTTCTTGTTTCTCTGAAATACTTAAGTAAAACACCTTAAAATTATAAGATTTGTGGCCAGACTATTTTGGATTATATGATGCTTATATCCTTAGTCTACAGTAAGATGCTGCATCCTGGAGTCTTCAAAACACTCAGATTTAAAATTCGCATGAGCATTACTGTATTGTGAAATCTGTTCTGAACCAAACCCCTCAGATAGTAGTATAATGTATCACAGAAAAATTTTTATTTATTTGTTTCTCAGTATAGAATTACTCAGTGATATAAGGTACATATAAGCACTTTTGTGATGAAAAGGCACTGAAATGTCCCTGGCTGGTTAATTATTACACTTGAAAAAAGAGGCTAAATTTGGGATAGCGTAGCAGGTGGCAAGGGACCCAGGAGCCTCCCCTTTCATCTGGCTACCAGTTTCACTCTGCAAGAGCATATGAGTGAGAGTGTGTGTTCCAGGGAACCACGTGGAATGAAATAATCCCCTACAGAAATGGAGTGTAATGAGGCTAGCCACTGGGCAATAAAATATCGGTGTCTGTCTGACAGTTTGGGAATTCACCAGTTTTGGGCCTCCATGATGCCCAATAAATGGGATTATGGAAGAATTCTTCCTCTATTTCATTTTCTTGGCTTAAAAACATTCCTGCTTCAGGTTAGACAGATGTCTGCTTGCTTGTCAGTCCCTACTGACTTTACTTGAAGCCACATACAACAGTACATAAGAAAGCAGCATCAGATTCAAGTAGAAATTATTAAATTCTTACTTGATATCAGGCCATATGCACCTGGTATGAGACACATTAGTGATCCCAAACAGCCCTGAAGGCTTTGGCAGTCTTTGACACTGGAACAAGTAGCAGCACATGGTCTGTGTTTATATCATTAACATTTCACAGGCTACAGCAGAGAGCAGTCATGTGCACAATAGCATCATCAGTGGTAATTCCTGATTGGTGCTGAGGAACTGCTCAGAAAATGTGATTTGGCCTGATTAAAGCAATGCCAGTGATCATCCTAAGGATTTCAAAGTGGCCAATAAAGAGCCTGCTGAAAGATGCGCTCCTTGTCAGAAACAAGATTCCAAAGTGGCTTTGTCAGCTGCATCTTCCCTTTGCTGTAGATAGTGAGTGAGCTAACAGGTGGGTATGGATTAACAGGAAGGGTGGACCTATCCCTCAGAATGTCACATGTCAACACACCCTACTTCATGGCCATGGCCCAGAGAGGCCGTTCTGCAGTGATTTCCCTCCAATGATCCATGAGAATATGCTCATTGCTCAACATAGATCACTGGATCAGTACCTATGTGAAGTCTGTTTGCTGGCACATGTATCAGTATTTCATAATTCAGGGGAGTAAATTTTATACACTTCATCGCTGTATTAATGACAAGCCCACTGTTCCAGTCAAAACTGTAAAAGGAATCATTGCCTTTTCTTCTGGAAAATAATGCAACAACTTACAGAAGTTAATATTGCATTGTGGATTTTATTGTTGTACTTGAAATTTTACAGTAAACATTAAAGCTTAATTTAATATAAATTTAAATGTTACTGATAAGAATTATTTCCAAGTTTCCCTTTCTCACAGAACATAACTCATTAATTACTTGGGTTATTTTGTGTTGGATTTTGTTTTTTCCTGAAGTCAGTCTATCCTTCCTAATTAGGAAGATGTTTTCAATATATTTTTGTTCACCTTTTATGCTCCTTTGTCATTGTTAAATCTCTGCTCTAATGTGTAAGTTTAATGCTGTAGGGTGTATATGTCTTACTTAAATTTAAAAAATAAATACATATACTGGAAACACATTAGAGATGTCGAATTTATGATACTTCCCATTCATCATCTCTTTTGATGCATTGATTAATTAAGGTGTAGAGATACTCCTCATATTGCAGTTTATACTATGTTGTCCTGTGTTGGTACATAGTGGACCATTTTGTGTAATATTCTCTCTGTTGCTGTAGAAAAATATCCTGTTTCTTTTGCAGGGGCAAATATTATCTCCAAACCACAGATCATCATGA